ATAGATAGATAGAATGGATGGATGGATGGATGGATGGGTGGATGGACAGACAGACAGACAGACAGACAGACAGACAGACAGGCAGACAGACAGGTAGACAGATAGATAGATAGATAGATAGGTAGGTAGATAGGTAGATAGATGGCTAGAGAGTTAGATAGATAGATAGATAGATAGTTAGATAGACAAATGAGAGAGAGAGAGAGGAGACCTCAACCACCTTTCGGTCCATCCGTGGCTTCGCTCTGCCATCCGTGAGTCATAACAACCAACCTCTCCTATAGGTTTCCTGTTTTTGAAACTTCCGCCACCGCCTTGTGCGGCACTACTGGTATGACCCAGATTGCAAATACATACTTAATTTACATTTACAACCAAAAATATGATCATCCTCTCATTGATTGGATCATATTGGATCATCTATTACTAATATGGAACAAACCTCAAAGTATCATATCCTTGGTACCACCCTATGGTAATCCATTATCACAACCTCAGAGTATTATAACCTCATATGACCTCATAGTATGATATTCATGTCAACCCCAGATTAAACCTCTAGGTTGTTCAATTAAAGGGGGTACCATCCAAGTATCAGATTAATTATACCCCCTTCCATCGGGTTTTGGCATCCCCCATTTATGGATGGTTTTAAGGGAAAATCCTATTAAAACCACCCAAATGGATGATTTGGGGGTTACCCCCATTTATATCATTTATGGAAACCCATATATATATATACTATATATATATATATTGGATCACCGTCCACCATCCACCAGGTGGCACTGGATCCCTGCGGCTTCGAGGTCCAGCTCCTCCGTACGCGGCCGTCGCCCTGTGGCATTCAGCAGCGCCTCAGCCTCCAAGGCCATGCCGGGGCCGCCGGCAGCGCTGCCCAGCTCAAGCCTCACAGACACACACACATATTGAATGTATATGTATATATTTAGAAATATATATATATATAATTATATAATGCATATTTAGAAATATATATATATATATAGATAAAAGAGAGAGAATATCATATCAGGGGCTAACTATGAAAAGCTCTACCCTTGCTCTTCGGACAGCCTCTTTCAGACATTGTCCCCTGGCCCACCTACAGAGACATCCGGAAGTATCAACGTTCACTGCTCCCAGGTGGGGGATCAATTTGGCTAAAACCCCAAAGTCGAATTTCAAACAATCATATTCATCTTGAATATGTTCCAATATTCCAATATCATCCACCCTTTATCAAACCTACTCTTCCCATTCCCCACTGTGGCACCGTTGACACCTGTATCGAAGACGATGCTTGTCATACAACTCGTCGTCCGTTTTGGCCTTACAGGCCACTCGAAGAACTTGGGCACAAACGAACAGCACCCCATCGGAACGGAGGGAGTTCATGACCTGGGCGAAGTGGGAAGAACTGGTGACTGTAAGGAAACATCTACAGGAGACCTTGGTTCTTGCCATCAAATTGTGAAGGGGTCCTGTGAATTTCCCCTACCAATTCAGGGACAATATTGATCCATGTCAATAACAGGGAGTTGAAGTATTGAACTAACCAATCCGCGGCTGTGCTTGTCATCAATTTATCCAACTCCCATGAAGGGCATCAGTCGCTGGCCACAATAACCAATACAAAATAAGTTGTGGAAAGACTTGATTACTTTCCCTCTTGGCATGACTATGCATCAGCAATAAACCTCAGAATCGGTCATTTGAATTAAGACATTATGCTTATTACTGTATGTTTATTAGTTTAAACGATTAAAACCACCATAAAGCAGCCATATATTTCTTGGCCAGTGATCTTGACCCATCCCAGCTTGAGAACTGATCACTGGCACCAGGACCAGGCACAAGCTCTGCTGCTTCGTCATCCTCCTTTCCCATGATCTTCCCAGAGGAACCGATCACCACGGTGACTTCACAGCCCAGGCGCTGGAAGGATTGAGCCAACTCCTCATGGATGAGCTGAAAGCCAAGTACTCAACTTGTTTTTTGACACATCTTGGTTGATGATAGTTGATCATTCCAAGTAGATCTACTGTTTGTTCAATCCTTCTCTGTTGGGAGGAGGGATTTTCAACTCCTTTCAAATGGACGCTGCGGTCTCAAATCTTGCAATGTCTCGAGAAACGGACATGGTTCGTGCCGAGGGGCAAGCCCGATAGGTCCTGCGCCAAGAACCACCATCCTGCCAGGGAATCAGCTACATTGGAACAAGACATATTATGCAGACCCATCCTGAATCTGTGGCTCCAAAATCCAATAGGTCATGGCATTTGAAAGTCGTCATGAGTTTTAACCCACGGGTCCTAGGTGGCAAAGAGCGTAGGTTCCAAAGGTTTGAACTGGTCAAGTGTGGAATGCCCTCCAGGACTTTAGGAACTTGTGCTGCAGCCTCGGTGGGTCAGGCGGCTGAGGAATGAGGACACATACTCCAATTGCAAATTACACATGGCAACCACACAAATATGAGCAAGTTAAATAAACAGCAAACAAAATGAGATGTGAAACCAGTGACATACACTATATTCTATATACAATATATATATATATGAATGCATCTTGTTGTGTACCCAACTCATTCAAACTCTGCATCGGCCCCCGGTAGCCAAGCGGCGCCAGTGCCCAGGATGCACTTCCGAAACTTGAAAGACCGACCATCTTGCAGCAGGACCTCATTGGGCCCTGCGAACTTGGCATAGCCTGAGATGATGTCCACACCCACCTGGGAATGGAAGCATTGCTGATCGAAGAGAAAGAATATGGCTGATGTTGGCATAATGCTGTAGATGTATGATATATATATATAATATATTTATATATATGATATGTATATTAAGTATATAAGTTGTGGTAAACTGTTGAAGAGAAGGGACTCATGAAGCTTTCCATTGCCATATTTCTGACTACCGGAGTAATCTGCTGCAAACGGCGGTGCTGTCAGGATCGATTCTTCGAGTTGTGCTAAATTTTGTATACATACACTTACTATGCAGATGCCAAAACAAACAATATAGATAGACTGCAGGATTTCCGATGCTTTCTTTAATTGTCTTGATTCATCAAGGGGAAGGTATTCAGCCTTCGGAAATCAAACATTACAATGGGAGTGGTTCTTACTAAATGGTTTAGGGGGAAAAGTATACAATCTATTACAATCTAAAAATTCTATAAATGGACCATTGTCCATTGCCATGGTTTTTTTCTCCGGAGGGTAATATACCCTCTGGTAATTTAACGTAGCTATTGAAAATGACCATTTATAGTGGATTTTCCAATGAAAAATTGTGATTTTCAATAGTTGTGTTAGTTTACCAGAGGGTAATATACAACCAGCCCACACAACAAACAACACCACTGATCCATCGAAAAAAGATCACCTCCTCACGATAGCGCTGCACTGAGTCGTGCTTGGAGATCTCCGCGCGGATGCGCCGCAGCCGGGCCATGGCAGCCTGGGAAATGGATCCGTTACTGCAGTTACCACCAGAAACATGCCAGAAACACAGCAGAAAATCTTGGCTTCGCGGTGCTTTGTTGAAGTGTACAGTACACGCTTTGTCATATTTGTTCGTGAAATATTTCATTACAGCAAGGTAAGATTCAATGATTACCTAGTGATCGGTATAGCATGCAGCATCATCGATACCATATGACCATAGCAATTCAACCTGACAACGACATGATCAAACCCCCAGCTGCCTGGAAGTTTGCATTGGCATCCTCTGGTGGCACAGCTGCCGCAGTCTTTGCCGCGGCAATGAGGGCTTTGGAGGGGACACAGCCGGTGTTCAGGCAGTCACCACCCATGTAATGCCTCAGAACAACAGATTCCAAGGGAAAATCAATTGGATGACTCGGATGAAAGGATAAGACTCCATCCTAGTGCAGTCATCCCTATGAAGGCATAGCACTGCTACGTCAAAAGAGTCAAGATAGTCAAAACACAAATCCGCCGCCTCCGGAAGCCACGCGGAAAATCCATGAAAATCCACCTGTCCCAAATTCGGACCTTCATCGTCCCCATCATCATTCACACTATTTCAGTCTTTTCCTACCCTGTTCACAGCCACCAGCAGGCCACCAGGTTACGGTTCGATCAGTGCCACCCGACGGCCCAGCTGCTTCCCCACGATGCAGCTGATGAGTCCAGCTACACCGGCACCCAGCACCAGCAGGTCGTAACTGGTGGAGTCTTTGCTTGCAGCCTGCGGCAATTCCCTGCTGTTCTTATAGGATAATCATGTGATAATCATGGGATAATCTTGCCATCTTTTTAAATAAATTATGGGTGGTTGATATGGTGTTTGGATTATGGATGTCTCCTGGCAAAAATGCTATGGGATAATCATGGGGTAGTTGACTCCTAATATCCCACCACCACATAGAGGAGACCAACGGAGGGACCATGATGATGTCACTGGATCAGCGCCAGTTGTGAGCCCTGCCTCATTCCTGGATGTCTCCACGTTCTCCAACAAACCTGGTCAAAGGATGTCAGAGGTAGAATTCATCCATTGTCTGCGGCATTCAGGACGTCCCATGAACTTGAATTTCAATAACCAATACTCCATGTCACATGTCTCTCCGTTGCTTTCAGTATCCCCCCTTGGACATTATGCATTCATTGGAGATATTGAAGCTAGCGCACCTTGAAGTATATAATTTATTGTGTTCTTTAAACGGCTCCATTTGTGGAGCACCCATGGTACACCAAATCTGGCGAAATCCTCAGGCTCCATGTGCCAGACAGCTTCCAAGAATTTCTAGGTTTCACACGCCTTGGTTTTAGGGACAATTTGAAAAGGAGTCAAAATGATGAGATACATTGAGATATTATATGTTCCCTTCCATTCATTTCTGTATATAATCCATTACTACCTGTCGATAAACGGAATAACACATGTTTTTTGCTGTCATGTCTTCTGGGTGAATTATAGTAATTTACTAGTTTAACCCGAAAAAAACCAATTTGGGAATGGTCCCCCTTACTAACCATCATTCCAGTGAGGTCGCAGTGAGGTCCTTATGATTGACCCGGATGTCATGTTGTGTCATCTCATTTCGTCGTCATCATGATCATGATCATGATCATGATCATCATCATCATCTTCATCATCATCATCATCATCACCATCACCATCGTCATTAATTACCAATTACCATCATTATCAACATCATCATGACAAAATGGTTTCCTGCAAGTCCAAGCGACGCTTCACATTGGGATCTTCCGCCGGCTCCGCGGCATGCTCTGGCACCAAGCTCCCTCCGCCGGAGGTCCCGGACGGGGGCGCTTTGCGCAGCGCAGGAGCCAAGGGCAGCGCAGGGCCCAACAAGGGACCTGGTCCAAGGGCGGTGAAAAAATTGCATGTACAGTACAATTCAAAGAAGTCATTTAAGTGTCATTAATTTGTTGAACAAAATGATGATCCGGAAAAAACTAGCCATGAGTTCTATGACCATCCCGAAATCATTCAGGCAATCATCCACAACAGCCATGATGACATGATGATATTCAAAATTATGAAAATGGTGCAAAGCATCACCATAGCCTGCAGCGTCTATGACTCCCACCACCCAATAACGACCCGCGTGCCTAGGATGCCAGAATAGATGCTGGCGCTTGGCGAAATGCCTGGACATTTTGAAGGCATTTGGAATCCATAGCCGCGCAAGATCAATATCAATATCAAGATCAAGATCAAGATCATCTTCATCATCATCATCATACTACTACAGTATATGGCAATGGTGCAAAGTGTCGCCTTGCCAATACATATTTATATAAGGCATCCTAAGACATCCTGAACCTTCCACCATCCAGAAATTCTTGAACTTTTGGTACTTGAACGCAAATGCCCCGCAAACAGCCGCAAAACTTGCAAAACCTTCCAAAAGTGTCATTTGGATCAAACGTTCAGATTTCATTTGAAATTATGAAATCAATCCTACTGAGTCAAATTTAGAAAGATCTTGCATGAACAAGGTCCCAATGGCTGAATCTATATATATGATAGATCCCACCAACTGTTGCCTTGCCTTATCACCATCCTTATATATGGAAACCAAAAGACAACAAATTTTAGACTGAATGGGAAAAACTTCCTGAAGGCCAGAGAAAGGGTCTCAGGCTGATATAATATAATACAGTACAGCCTAATGGTCTTGTGGTGGTTTCGGATTGATTTTATCTATTGATTCAAGTTTTGGCTGGATCTCAGTCTAAATTTAGGAGGAGTTCAGGCTCAAATGAAGAAACTCAAGTGCGGGAGTGTTGGAGTGCTGGAGACATGTTGGAGCATTGGTTGGCATTGATGGGTGGGTAGGAAAAAAGTTAGCATATGTACGCATATGTTAGCATATCGTAGCATGCTGCCAATTTATCGCAGGGATTAGAGGATCTAATCTAAGCTCCTGCTTGCCGAACCCTAGGAAGTGAAACCCTTTTGTGACTTGAATTTGATGTATGAATATGAAGTTTTGGGCTGATTTTGGCTGAACCTCCCAAACAAATGATTAACAACTCGGGCAAAAACACACTGTCCGGGCAGAAAAATGCAATTTGGCAAAAACAACGAAACATTCGTTGATTATTATGTTGTTGTTTACTGTTTTGTTGGAGGGCTCAAAAATTGATTGAACTATTCGTGGCTAGCAATGTGAAACCCCTGGCAGGATGATAAACAAATAGTTAAATATGTTGAAATTGTTCCTTTGCGTTTTGAACGTTGGTGATTGGCAGAGGGCTTGTTTAGTGCTACTTTCTTCCAAAATTTGACATCTCTGCATCTTGCAACCCTTTGCCACATCATTCAACGCTTCGAATTGTTGTCAGTCTTGCGAAATCAACACTTATCGTCAGCAGTGGCTCCGGCTATCTTTTCTTTTGTTTCGTTTGTGTTCTTTTCGTTCCAAGAACTATGGTCCAGTCTGAAACGACGGTCTGAATGCATTCAGAAGATTGTTATTGCATAGGGTTTGGCAATTGTATTGTTGAATTTGTTGATCTACTCAAAAGGATGACATGGGTGGGTGGCTGTGTGTACGCTGCTGGAGGGAACAATGCGACTTGTCATGTGGGTGGAGACTTTTTACAAGAGATTCTGGTGAGGGCGGTGTCGGCCGGTAAGTTTTGTCTCGGCCGGGTCGGTTGTGCGCTGGTTTGGTCAATTTGGCCCAAAGTTAAGAAATCCAAAACGTTCAAAAAATTCTTAACTTTGGAAGGTCCAGGATCATACAATACACCATGCACCATAGTCCATCCAGGATCAGATTCAGGGATGTCTAGCAAGGGGGCATTCAGGTTCGGAGATGCACACGCATGAACTTGGAAAACCCGCCACCCTCCTGACACATTGACAAATATCAACACCACAATCCAACATGATCAACCATGCACTAAGCGTCGTGTCCGCATTGCCAAGCACAAGAACAATGTTGCCCACAAGCGTTTTGCACACAGCTTCATGCTGCCAGCATGGGCAACAAGGCAGGGGAATCTCTGATACCAAGGTGAGCGTGATGACTGTAAAACGGTGTCAGTGTTTGATTGTTTTTTTTCCTTGATGTGTGGGTGCTCAAGAGCTTGGGGAAATATGATAGAAAAAATCAAACCAGAATAGCGTGTTGGGGGCTCAACCTAGTGTATCCCATTCTTTTTTCAAGCTGGGATTGATACGAAATTGTCAGGCACTCGGGGAAGCAACCAGGCAGGTGAGATTTCAGTGGCACTCCTTGAAGCCAGTTGGCGACAGGCCGGGAACATCCGGGAACCGTGTTACCACCCCCTCCATAGATCTACCGGGGAAAAAGATGGTTTGGTTTTCGGTAAACTTTCCCTTAAGCCAGCCTAACGAAGCCGAACATCTAGTTCTGTTTTCTGCGCATCACCTGTCAATGGAACCACACAAAGGTTCAAATCGATTTCACATTGCGGGCGGCATCTCTAGGCACCAAAGATCAATCAGTTGCTTGAAACGATGAAGATCTGGAAAGCTGTAAGCATGTTCACATCACCTTGAGAATTCAGACTCTCGCGTCTTTTTGTGGTTTAGGTTGATGGTTCTGGATTCAATTGAAACCTCAAGACTCGCACGTGCTGGCCTGTTAGCCGGATAGTGCTGTTGCAATCTCAGGCATTCATTTATAATTAATTTATAAGATGCCATGTAATAGCTCAAATACGCATCAACATGCGCAAATTGTGACGCAATGAGATTAACATGAGATTTTTGGGTTTGCCTATGTTTGTCTAAAGTGGCCCTTTTCGAAGCGGGAACGACTGTGCATGCTCAGCACCCTTTCTCATTTGAGGGAAGTGGCTTGGTGAACACGCGAAGCCGCTCACTGAATGACAGCTTGCTTTTCATAGATGGCTAACAAGCCGATGACTGCGAGGACATACAGGACAATTGGATTGATCCACTGGCGCTGCTTTCATCACCCGAAGTTTCGTTGCAAAGCACTTTCTGTTCAGCTTCCTGTTGGATGCAGAGACTGTGAGCCGAGAAATGGTGCTTGTGTTCGGGAAATTTTAGGATCTCCGCCATGACCAAGGAACATATTGGTAGCTCTTGGTAGATCTGATCTTCATATTATTGTGAGTGAATTGAGAGCATCTTCCCAAATTTCACGCCAACCACCAATCTATGGCGAACGTTTCTCCCGCCTTTGTCCCTGGTCTACCGCAAAGTCTTTGAAATGCCATTGGGTGAAGCAACTAACACCATCATATCATCCATGATTTTAAGGAAACATCCTTTGAGGGCATTTGGGTCGGCAGACCCCCCCAGCCATTCGACTGGAACATCTGAAAGAAGCCCGGCTGTGGTGCAAGGCCTTGTAGGAAGCATAGCCACAAATCAGCAGAATAAGAGCAACAAAAAGCAAGCTGGCAGAGGCGAAGTTGAAGCCGTTCACACCCGGAAACTCCAGCCTTGGGGTCAGAGAAGAGAGATCAAATTCAAGATGAACTGGGAGACACCTTTCTGGAAAATAGCGATTCTTTGTTGACCAGGTTTCTTTGTTGATTCCAAGCGGCTCCCCAAGGATCCAGACTGCATTGGCAAGGGCCCACACAATCCATGCGGAGCCCGCACCGGTGAAGCTCCTGATCCCTGCAGGAGGGGGAAATTGAAGATCTATGAGATCTATGCGGCAACAAACACTGGAGACCCCTGAAACCCGTTCAATGATTTACCCGCCAGAATATCTAAGAATGATGCCAAAATAAACAAACATCCAAGACTTCAATGGGAAGAATGCCTCTAAAACATTCTAAAACTAGGGAATCCACATGAATCCACCATGGTGGTGTTCGTTTTGGTCTCGAGAATCCATTGCATCCCTGTGCGCAGTCCTGACTGCAGGTGGATGTGATAGAGCAGCATGGGCACCTGACATGGAGCATGCCTGCTACAACATCTCTTCTGGAGATCTGCCAGCCACAAGTTGTATCGTGTCCGAGTTTGTTGATTTGACTGCTACAAGGTTCGCACAAATATCATTTCATAAGACCGCCCATCTTGATGACATATTATGAATTGTAATGATTCACAAATCTCAATATAAAATAATATAAAGCAATTTGATGCAATTTGGGGATCATTTCCCTTACTAACCATCATCCATCCTGTTCTCATCTTCGCACGGCTGTTCCAACATCTGCAGCCAAAGAGCAGTGATAAGGTCTGTGCTCAAAGCTGGCCACACCTTTTCGGCTGCCCAGAAGTAGTCCTTTCTGTGTGGCTTTCAGGTGAAAAGGGGGCCACACAATGCCAAACCAAAAATCAAGCTGCCAAGACACATCAAGACGCTGTAATGGTTTGTTTGGTGTCAAACGTCAAAGTGAATTACCTAGTCAACGATAACTACAAGATGCGATCAGGATATCACTACTATTATTTCCCAGAATTTATAGTTTGCTTAATAACCAGGATATAACTAGGTTCACGGCTCATATTTCGCCGTGAGGGAAAATGGTCATTTGATGAGTTCCATGCGATGCTGAAATCATTGAAATTCCATTGGGAAATTTGTTTCGTTTGCGGTGACTCTTGGCAAAAACTGTTTTTGTCTCTTCTGCAAAATGCGGGTAAACTACTGTGCTGCTCACCAAATTTTCATGGTTTTTTTTTTTGGAAATTGCGGTTCGCACCTCACAGGGAAACAATGTGCATATTTTTTTGGATCTTCGACATATCATACCATCCACTAAAGAAAAAGTGCATCTATTTTTTGCATCTTCGACATATCATATCACCCACTAAAGAAAAACAACAATGGTTCGAGGTAGGTCCCTAGAAACTATTTAGATTATTTTTTTCACCCCACCCCACCCCACCCCACCCCAACCCACCCGACCCAACGTCATCAACGTAGCATCAAGAGCGTCTTCCAAGTTACTTCGACATGTCTTGCCGACGTAGTATCAAGGACGTGGTCGTCAGGACGTTAATACACCCCCCCACCCCACCCCACCCCACGTCATCAACGTAGCATCAAGAACGTCTTCCAAGTTACCTCGACATGTCTTGTCGACGTAGTATCAAGGACGTGGTCGTCAGAACGTTAATACACCCCCCCACCCGACCCCACCCCACGTCATCAACGTAGCATCAAGAACGTCTTCCAAGTTACCTCGGCATGTCTTGTCGACGTAGTATCAAGGACGTGGTCGTCAGAACGTTAATACACCCACCCACCCCACCCCAGCGTAACCCCTCCAATGGTCAAAAAATGCATATTTTACCACGGCGAATTATGCACCGTGGTCCAACTACTTATCCCCCTGGCGGAAGGAAATATATACTAATATGAAGAACCTCAGCCCATTTCGGCCAGCCCCTCACACCTTCAAGCACCAGCTGCAAAGATAGCCTGACTTGACAAGAAGGTGGACCAGTGATGCTTTCAAAAGCTGCACGATGAGGCCAAGAGTCCAGTTTTGGGCAACGTCAGCCAAGTCACCCTGCAGCAAGACCTCTCCCAAAGCTCCTCGAACTTGACGATGGCGATAGAAAATCACCAGGACGCCTAGCCTGGGGGAACCATCCTCCAAGCACCCGTTAGGACAGTACCAATCGGTACCATTCCACAGTAAACCCACACAGTACCAATGCATAAATAAGCTGCGATTGCGTGCAATTGCTTCAACTGGCTATGGTTCATTGATATGTGAATATCCGATATCGGTAATGGTTAATCTAGGATAAATTAGGTATGATGAGATTCATTGAGGTTACAACTCCACCAACAACCACTAGTAAGGGCTTACTAACCATCTATGATCATCTATGATTGGGAGTCACCTTTAGGCGGTTGGTCGAATCCCCATGATTTCTCACAGCAGAGTGGCACGTAGACGGCCACGCCCAAAAGAAAGCCATTCTTGAAGATCTCGGACAAATGGTAGCACAAGGACCTTGAAAATCGCATAGCTTCAATGTTGATCTTGGAATCCAATCCCTCCAATGGAAACTGACAGTACATAGGGGTCCCCCCCCAAAAAAATAGAATATTTCAATGCCTCCAATGTTCTATCTAGTTTGGGGTTGCGATACAAAAATCTACTCCGGGCCAGGTTAACATAGAACCCACTAATTTTGTTCATTTGTGCGCACAGTCGTTTTTCCTCGTTTACACCCCCTTTACTAAACAAACATGAACCACCAGAACGATTTGCCAAGTGAACAAACGTATATATATATATATATACATAATATATTGTGTATACCAGTAGTACCGCACAAGGCGGTGGCGGAAGTTTCAAAAATAGGAAACCTATAGGAGAGGTTGGTTGTTGCGAATCGGGGGTGGCAGAGCGAAGCCACTGATGGACTGAAAGGTGCTTGATCTCTTTCACTCTTTCTCTCTCTTTCTCTCTTTTTCTCTCTGTTTCTCCATCTTTCTCTGATTATCTACCGACCTACCTACTGATCTATTTGTCTACCTATCTATCTGTCTGTCTGTCTATCTATCTCCCTATCTATCTATCTATCTCCCTATCTATCTATCTATCTATCTATCTCCCTATCTATCTATCTATCTATGTATCTATTTATCTATCTCCCTATCTATCGATCTATCTATCTATCTATCCATCTATCTTTTTATTTAGCTATCTCTCTATCTATTTGTCTGTCTATCTATCTATCTATCTTTCTTTCTTTCTATTTAGCTGTCTCTCTATCTATTTGTCTGTCTACCTATCTATCTATCTTTCTATCTATCTATCTCCTTCGTCTGTCTATCTGTCTAGCTGTCTACCTGTCTATCTGTCTATCTATCTATCTATCTGTCTACCTGTCTATCTGTGGTGCAGTGTCATTCAGTGTAATGTAGTGTAGTGTAATGTAGTGTAGCGTGGTGGAATGTAGTGTAGTGTAGTGTAATGTAGTGTAGTGTAGTGTAATTTAGTGTAGTGTAATTTAGTGTAATGGAGTGTAGTCGAATGTAGTTGTGTAGCTGTAGTTGTAGTTGTAGTTGTAGTG